GGAAACAGACCCTTTGGTCCAACGTGTCTGCACCAACCAGACATCCCAATCTGATCTTGTCCCATTTGGCCCATATCCGTCTAAATCCTTCCTTTCATATACCTACCCCAATACCTCTTAAATGTTATAATTGTACTTTCTCTGGTAGCTCATTCCCATACACGCGCCACTCTGTGTAAACAAAAAAAAATTGCTCCTCATGTCCTTTTTTAAATATTCCCCTCTCAACATCTTAAACCTATGCCTGCTAGTTTTGAATTCCCCTCATCCTAGGAAAAAGACTCTGGCTATTCACTCTATCCATGCCCCTCATGATTTTATAAACCCCGATAAGGCCACACCTCGGCCTCTGCTCCAGGGGAAAAAAGTCCCAGTCTGTTTAGCCTCACCCCATAACCCAAACCTTCCAGTCTTGGCAACATCCTTGTAAATTGTTTCTGCACCTTCTCAAATTTAACATCTACCACCCAGAAGCTAGCATCCATGTTCAGTAGATAAAAGAGAAGGCAAATGGAATGTTGGCTTTTATTTCAAAAGCGAATGGAATATAGAAGTAGGGAGGATTTGCTAAAACTGTTCATTACACTCGTCAGACTACTGACTCAGTACAGTAGTCTGTAGTTCAGAGTACACTGAACAGTTTAGAGCCCTTTATCGAAGGAAAAATATAATGACACTGGAGGCAGTTCAAAAAGAAAGGTTTACTAAGCTGATACCAGGTATGGAGGGGCTGTTTCATGAAGAGATGTTCTGTAGATTGGGCCAGAACTCAATGGAATATTGAAGAATGAGAGGCAAACTTATTGAAGCATTCCAGATTCTTGGGGGACTTGACAAGATAGATGCAGAAAGGTTAATTTCTTTGTGGGCGAATCCAGGACCAGAGGACATAATCTCAGAATAAAGTGTCACATATTTAAGGCAAATACAAGGAAGAATTTCTTCTTTGAGTGTTGCGAGTCTGCAGTTCTTTTACCACAGAGGATTCATGAGGCTGGGTCATTAAGTATATTCAAGGCAGGGGTAGTCAGTCTTTAAGCAGTAAGGGAGCCATGTATTATGGGGAAAAGGAAGGAAAGTGGTGTTCAGGATTATCAGGTCAGCTGTGATTTCATTCAATGACGGAACAGATTTGTTGGGCTGAATGGCCTACTTCTGCTTCTTTGTGCAATGGTCTTAAAATGCAAATTTCCACTTTGCTAACCATGTGGGACTCTACATTTGTCTCTGTTAATCTACCTCTGTGTAACCCTTAGGCTTGATTATTCTCATTGGCTGGCTTCCTGCATTCTTGAAGGAATTCATCTCTGCTTCCCACGTACGTACTTGCACCAAGTCTCATTTCCTTAACAGATCCATGTCCACTTCTCTTAATTTTTTATTCAGTCATTCATTGCTCCCTCCATGGACCCTTTATTCCCATCGTAGTAGTCCTTGAGAATGTGGTGGTGAGTTGCTGTGAACTACAGAGATAACAAGGTGTAGAGCTGGATGAACACAGCAGGCCAAGCAGCATCAGAGGAGCAGGAAGACTGACGTTTCGGGCCTAGACCCTCCTTCAGAAATTCAGAAATGTCAGCAGTGCTGTTGGAGGAAATTTCAGGATTTTGACCCAACAACACTTTTTCCAAGTCCAGATGTTGATGACTTGGAGGGAACTTGCAGGTCACAATATAGCCTTGTCGTTCTAGCTGGTTGTCATCATGGGTTTGAAAGATGCTGTCTAAGGTCCCTTGGTGAATTGGCTCCTGGGTGAGCAATAATTCAATTTTACAATTCCCGTCCATGTGTTCAAATGCATTCATGGTCTTGCTGCTCCTTATTTCTCTCATTACCTCCTAACGTGAATGCTGTGTTAGCCTTTCATTATAACAGGTTTGGAGTGCAAGAATAAGCAAGTGTTGCTAAATTATGCAGGGCTTTGGTGAGACCGTGCCTGGAACACCGTGTGCAATTTTGGTCATCGTAACAGTACAGTTCACTGGATTGGTCTCTGGGCTAAGAAGACAGGTTTTTTTTTAAATTTTTATTCATTCACTGGATGAGGGCATTGATGGCTGGGCCAGCACTTATTGCCCATTCTTAAATTGCGCAGAGGGCAGTTAAGAGCAGACGAGACCAGGTGTGGTTGACGGATTTCCTTCCGTAAAGGGCATTAGTGAACTAGATGAGATTTTCTGACAATTGACAACAGATTCATGATTATTATTAGACTCTTGATTCCAGATTTTTATGAATTCAAATTCTACCATCTGCCATGGCATAGAATTTGCACCCAGGTTCCCAGAATTCCTGAGTCTTTGGATTAACAACCCAGTGATTATACCACTAGGCTGCTGCATGAGGGATTGAGTATGGATCTATATTTTCTAGAGTTTAGAAGAATGAGAGATGATCTTAAAGGAACATGCAAAGTTATCACGGGACCACCACTGTCTTACCTGGCCAACATGTATGTTTCGGGGCTGCTGCAGCACACTGGCAAGCAACATCTCGTCTTGAGCTCATTACAGCCTTCAGACTACCTACAGATTTTTGTAAACAATTTATATCATTTATATAAACAATTTGGATGAGAATATAGGAGGCATGGTTAGTAAACTTTGGGATGACACCAAAATCGGTGGGGTACAGTGGATAGTGGAGGAGATTATCTAAGATTACAAAGACATATTGGTCAATTAGCTCCATGTGCTAAGGAGTGGCAGATAGAGTATAATTTGGATAAATGTGGAGTATTACATTTTGGTAAAATGAACAAAGGCAGAACTTATAGAATTAATTGTAGGGTCCTGGGTAGTGTTGTAGAACAGAGAGACCTAGGGGTTCAGGTGCATAATTCTTTGAAATTTGGTCACAGGTAGACAGGGTGGCTAAGAAGGTGTTTAGCACGCTTGCCCTCATTGCTCAGACCTTTGAGTATAGGAGTTGGGATGTCATGTTGAAGTCTTACAGGATGTAGGTGGGGCCTCTTCTGGAATACGATGTGCAGTTCTAGTCGCCCTGCTTTAAAAAGATATTATTAAATTGGAGAAGGTTCAGAATAGATGTTGCTGGGAATGGGGTGTTTAAGTTATAAACATAGGTTGGAGTATAAGAGGTTGAGGGGTGGCCTTGAGGTTTATAAAATGATAAGGGACATAGATTAGTGAATAGCAAGGGTCTTTTCCCTAGAATGGGGGAGTTCAAAACTAGGGGGATACTTTTAAGGTCAGAGGAGAAAGGTTTATAAAGGATATGAGGGGCAATTTTTTTTTATATATACAGTAGTTCGTGTGTATATGAACTACCAGAGGAAGTGGTCGATATAGGTACAGTTACAACATTTAAAAGTCATTTGGATAAATATAAGAAGAGGAAAGGTTTTACGGGATGTGGGACAAATGCAGCTAAGTGGGGCTGGTTTATTTTGGGAACATGGTCAGCGTGCACAAGTTGGACCATGCTATATGACTCTGACTCTATGACTTAACCTTTAGGTTAATATTTTTAGAGCTTGAACATCATCTTATCCACATCAGTATTATCCACCTCCACATCCCAGGTCTTGTGACATGGTTTGCTTTCAGCACAGCCAACCCATTTTCACATACTCAGCCTCCATCATCTGTAATTTAGCTTCTTTTCTTCCCTTGCTTCCTATCTTAATCCCTTTGCCCTTTTATCCTCTTCTCTCTGGGCCGTCTATCCATTTACTCATTTATTCCTTTGCTCCCTGCCCCCCCGTCAACAAAAATGCCACCTTTTTTCCTTTTTCCTTTTTCACTTCTGTAGAGGGGTCTCTGGACTCAATGTTAACTCTGTTTTCTCTCCGCAGTTTCACCAGCAAGTTCTGCTTTTGTATGTTCCACTTTAGGAAGCCCTGCTATTATTGCTTTATGTCCCTGACCGTTTCTGTCTGTTGACTTAAAAGTGATGCCAGTTTGTGTTTTAATATTGTAGGTATACTTGACGATTACATTTGTAGTGTGATTGCAACATAATGGCTGCTGTCACGACGCATAGTTTATTGACTTATGTAGAAGAGGAGAATATCACTGCTTTTAAGGCATTGCTGGAGAAGTGCAAAGATGTGGATGAAAGGAATGAGGTAGGAAGTTACTTACACTAAAATATTTCACCATCTTGTATTTAATGACATTGAAATCTGTTAGATTTTTTAAAAATGTTTCTTTTAACTGATTACATTTTAGTTAATGATTAAATATGTTCGGAATATAATTACTGGAAGATAAATATAATTACTGGAACATAACTATGCTATAAGATTTTTAAAAAATCTGTTTAGAGGTAATTAATTCCCCCCCCTCCCAAAGCCTCCCTAACAAAGGCTAGCCAAGAGATTGCAAATTTTATTGCCTCAAAGATGTCCCTCTTCACTGTTCTGTAACTGCATTACAGAAAATGTTTGAAAATTGCAAATTACAAGTCTTTGTTTGTTTGTATATTTCCCTCTCTCTCTTTGATACATCAGCATTGTGTGTAGTTTCAGCTTCCTTTTTGAAATAAATATAAACAGACAGCTCAATAAGTTTCAGTACTCCGCTATTTTCTTTTAATATTGTGTAAGCGTTTGCATTGGGAACGTGTCTTTCTCTAGTTCTTTAGTGATGTGAAGCTTGGTGTATTTGTTTATTCAGTCATGTGGGTGTGATCGCAATTATAGGCTGTTGTCAGTCTGGAGCCTGACGTCTGTCACACCCAAATTGTTGACTGACCACTCTTAAAGTAAACAAACGCAGCAAGCTTTACAGCCTTGGCAATTATGTATAATTTTAATGCCCACTATTTTCTCCTTCAAAAATTGGGGTTGTGTTGGGAATATTTCAGAATTTTTAAATGAGGTATTATATTTTCAAACTGTGAAAATACTTTGCACTTTCAAAACAGCACTACATTAATGATTCTTAATAAAGAACATGTTCAAGCATGCTGAAAAGTAAGCACATTTCCCCTGAGACAGCTGATCTTCACTTAATATCTTCAGTGGTGAGACGTGTTGGTTCGTCAGTCTATTTGTTTGTTTTGCTGCAAGCTTGAAAACATTTAAAATGTCTGAAGGATACTTGGTGGGTGTGTGTTTAGAAATGAAAAAAGACTTTAAACATATTCAATATGTATCATATTTTTGAGATTTATAGTAAGTTGAACATTGAATTGTTGTGATACTGACTAATAACATTACATTGCAGAGTGGGCAGACTCCACTAATGCTGGCAGCAGAGCAAGGGAATTTGGAGATAGTGCAAGAATTGCTCAAAAGAGGAGCCAACTGCAACCTGGAAGATGCTGTAAGTAAATTTACTGTAATTCTAATAACTGACTACAGAATTTTGTGTTCGGTTTAGTCACATTTCAAAAACTCTTACTTGAGGATTTTTTTAATGACCAGGATAACTGGACAGCTCTGATTTCAGCTGCAAAGGAAGGATACTTGGAAATTGTGAGCGAGCTCATTAACTTCAATGCCAACCTGGAACACAGAGATATGGTAGGTTTAAAATAAAATATGTTCTTCCTTTTGTGAAGCAGAGTCTACAGAATTTGACTGTGCAAGGGCAATTCTGGGCCACTTGAATGAAAAGAATAAATCTTTTTGTTATTATAATTAGAATAAGCTGTCAGCTCAGTTGGCTGACAGCTGGTTTTGCAATGCAGAGTGACGCCAACAGCATGGGTTAAATTCCCACACCGGCTGAGATGACCATGAAGGACTCTCCTTTTCAACCTCTTCCTTCACCTGAGGGCGAGGTGGCCCTCGGGTTAAACTACTGTCAGTCTAATGAGAGCAGCCCTATAGTCCAGTAGAATTCTAAAATTAATGTATAGAATTAATTTGTAAATATTAATCAGAGAAAGTGGTCTTTTTTAAAAAAAAAGATAGGTTGTTAAGATTAATTGCATGTAATTGGAAGTGCCTAACAGCAATAAAAAAGACCCTTATTATTTTTATGTGATGCATGATAAAGAAAATTTTTATGGAGATTGTTTTTTGCGTAACTGATTTAATAGTGCAAACTTTTCTGTGCCACTTAAACCATGTCATAGCATAACTTGTTTGTTGTCTGGTAAACTGCAATGAAAGTGTGAATGGGACTTTGTCTTGTGGTTTCTACACCTAGGAACTCTGGTATCAGTCAAGGCTGTGTGAAGTGATTAGTACATTGAGGCTAAATTCCTTCTCGAGGACAGTCTGCCTCTGTAGTTTGTTATGAACCTGTGATTACCTGTCCGTAGGTGCTGCTGATCCAGTCATACTGAGAAGGGTCATCACTGGACTCAATTTTAACTCTGTGTTCACTTTACAGATGCTCTCAGACCTATTGAGTTTTTCTAGCATTCTGTTTTAATTTGTTCTAGCCATTTGCTTATTTGCTTTCTAAGGCAAGAATAGTGATAGAAAGAAATGGTATTTTCATAAGCGTGGGAGTGAAAGAAAATGTGACCTCAAATGCACAATCAGATCAGCTACAGTTTCATTAAATGGCAGAGCAAGATCGAGGGACTGAATAGCCAACTTCTGTCTGTTAACAGGGTGATTGAGAAGGGGAAAAGGAGAAAAATATCATGTTTCCAAAGAACCTTGCTTACACAACATTTATATTGTAGCCATAAATATTTTCTGTTAACCTAAATACAAAACGAGGTCCGGTTTTCAGTTTAACAAGGTGTAGAGCTGGATGAACACAGCAGGCCAGGCAGTGTCAGAGGAGCAGGAAAGCTGGCGTTTCGGGTCTGGACCCTTCTTCAGAAATGGGGGAGGGGAAGGGGGCTCCGAAATAAATATTTTCTCCCTCCCCCCCCCCCCCCCCCCATGATAAAAGGTGGATAGAGGAGCAGGTAGGTGGAGAGAAGACGGACAGGTCAAGGAGGCGGGGATGAAGCCAGTAAAAGTGAGTGTAGGTAGGGAGTTGGGATGGGGGTTGGTCAGTGAGGTGTGAGGAGCGGATAGGTGGGAGAAAAGACGGACAGGTCAAGGAGCCAGGGACGAGATGGGCTGTGGGAGGTCACCTGAGGTGATGAGGTTATAGATGGTGTGGGAGATGATGTTTTGGTGGTCAGGGGTGGGGTCATGATCAAGGGAGCGATAGGAGGTGTCAGAGTTGGCGCCTGGCCTTGGCGATGTAGAGGTCAGTGCGCCATACCACAACTGCGCCTCCCTTGTCCGCGGGTTTTGATAGTGAGGTTAGGGTTGGAACAGAGGGCTGCACATTCTGTGGGGGAGAGGTTGAGACAATCGATGTCGCGAATGGCAGTGGAGATGAAGAGGTCGAGGGAGGGTAGGAGGCCTTGGGGTGGTGTCCAGGAGGAAGGGATGTGTTGGAGGCGGGAGAAGAGGTTAGCAGAGGGGGTGCTAGGCTCACGATTAAAGAAGTAAGCGTGGAGGTGGAAATACTGTATGATGTCCAAGCGCCTCCTTCATCCCCGTCTCCTTGACCTGTCTGTCTTCTATCCACCTTCTATAATCGCCTCCCCCTCTCTCTATTTAATTAAGAGCCCCCTTTTTCCCCCCTCCTCCATTTCTGAAGAAGGGTCCAGACCTGAAACGTCAGCTTTTCTGCTCCTCTGATGCTGCCTGGCCTGCTGTGTTCATCCAACTCTACACCTTGTTATCTCAGACTCCAGCATTGGCAGTTCCTACTATCTACCAGTTTTCAGTTTGTACTGGCATGTTAGAACTTTTAAGTACAGGAACAGACCTTCGGCATACCATGTCTGTGCTGACCGTGATGCCATTCCAAACTAATCTGATTTGCCTGCACATTGTCTGTCTGTCTGTCTGTCTGTCTGTGTCCCCCGCCTGATCCTGTGTCCATCTAAATGCCTCTCATAATCTTGTATACTTCTATCAGGTGGCCTGTCAGCCTCTGATGCTCTGCTGAAAACAATCTAAATTGTCCATCCTCTCCTTTTGTAGGTAATACACTCCAATCCAGGCAACATCCTGGCAAACCTCTTGCACCCTCCCCAAAGCCTCCATATCATTCTAAAGTGTGGTGACCAGAACTTCACACACTACTCTAAATTTGGCCCAACAAAAGTTTTATACAGCTGCAACATATCTTGCTAACATTTATCTCAATGTCTGACCGATGAAAGCGAGCATGCCATACACCACCTTTACCATCTTATTCACTTGTGTTGCTACTTTCAGGTAGCTATGGGCATGCAGCCTGAGATCCTATAATTAAACTAGGAAAGTGTCTATGGTTCCTTGTAAAAATGGAACAGGTCCACATTTTTTTAAAAAAAAGGAACATTTGAAAATAATAGAACATTTTAACGAGTACTACAATCTATCTTTCGGATGAGATCCGTATGGATTAAGAGTTGAATTAAGCAAATTCTTTATTATTAGAATTTGAAGTTGGCCTATAGTTGAAGTAATAGGTGCTTGCGCATTCGGATGTTGGATTTGATCTTCCTTGATGAACCATAACTTTAGTTTTTTTTTCTTAATGTTTGTATACACTGGTTAGAATTATTTAATACTGCAGACCTACTGATTCTGTTGTCATTTTTTTATGAGGAGATACAAAAATACTTTTTTTTGTTAAAAGCTGCTAAAATTTTAATTTGAATGTTGCAGGGTGGCTGGACTGCCCTTATGTGGGCAGCATACAAAGGACACACAGAAATTTCTCAATTGCTTCTTCAGAAAGGGGCAAACCCAAATATTACTGGACAGGTGAGCAATTTGTTTCTGAATTACTGGGGTCAACAATATATTGCATGCAAGGATAAATCCACTGAAAAGTTGATTTAGATTTGCCCACGTTACGAAGAGATCCGTCTGAAATTTGTAACTATTTGATGCAAACTATAAAGTGCATAATTGGTTCTAAGATTGCATTAACTGTTGGTTTTCTTCCATGTGGAAAAGAGCTTTACTTACTGGATCACATTGTCCTGTCTTGAATCTCCAATAATTTTGGTGGTTTTTTTTTAAGATTTCTGTCAAGGATTGTGAGAAAAACAATCCAATTTTTTGTTGCTCTTCTGCAAAAATATTGGGCTGAGTATTTCGTTCATTAATCAATTTTTAATTTACAATGGTGTCCAGTAGGAATTAACAGAGCTAAAGCTGTTAGCTAATTCTGGAGCACACCTATCCTTTTGAGAAAAGGAAGGCTGGATTTTTTTGGGAGTTGAAGAAGGAAGCTAGACTGTAACTTGTTGATTTGAAATTTGACACTGAACCAAAAATACTAAGTGAATCATGAATTTTTGTAACTTGCTTCCCTTTTTAAATTGTCAATTTTTAAAACTATAATTGTATTAAATTACATTGAAGAGAAAAAGTGAGGACAATTGAAGTTGCTCTGTTGAGCTGAGTTTAGCTTTCAAGGAGTTGAATTCATGAGACAGAACTGATGTAGATGGGAATCTAAATGTAATCTAACAGAAATGCAGTGGTCTACTGGTAATGTCACTAGTAATCCAGAACCTCAGGCTAATGTTCTGAGGATTTGAATTCAAGACCCTCCGTGGCAGATGATGAAATCTCAATTGTCTTTTTTTTTTAAGAAAAAACTGGAATAAAAGGTTTATTTTTTATTCACATACTTGTGGAACTTGGGTGATGCTGGCTGGACAGCATTTATTGCACATCTGTACTTGCCCTTGCGAACTTGGTGGTTAGCTGCTTTATTGAACTGCTGGAGTCTGTGTGCTGTAGGTAGACCCACTATGCTGTCAGGGAGGGAATTCCAGGGTTTTGATCCTGTGGTAGTGAAGGAATGGTGATTATAATTCCAAGTCAGGATGTGAGTAGCTTGGAGGGGAACTTGCAGGTGGCGGTGTTCCCATGTATTTGTTACCCTTGTCCTGCTAAATAGTGGTGTTGGGTTTGAAAGGTGCAGTCAAAGGATCTTTGGCAAATCTCTGTGGTGCATAGTGTAAAATCTCTGAGTGATGCTCGAGCTGCCCAGGCAAGTGAGGAGTATTCCATCATGCCTTGTGCCTTGAGGATGGTGGACAGGCTTTGAGGAGTCAGGAGGTTAGTTACTCGCTGCAGTGTTCCTAGCCTCTGACCTGCTCTGGTAGAAATTGTACTTGTATGGTAAGTCCAGTTGAGTTTCTGGTCAATGGTAACCCCCAGGATGTAGTGAGTGGGGGATTCACTGATGGTAACGTCATTGAATGTCAAGGGGCAGTGGTTTGTCTGTCTGTCTGTCTGTCATTGGAATTGGCCGTTGGACAGTTGTGTGGTATGATATTACTTACTACTTTACAGCCAAGCCTGGAAATTGTCCAGGTTTTGATGCATTTGGACATGGACTTCTTCGGTACCTGAAGAGTTGCAAATAGTGCAAAACACTGTGTATTCATCAGTAAGCATCCGCACTTCTGACCATGTAACCACTGTCAATTACCGTAAAAAGATATTCTTTAGGAAAGGAAATCTACCATCCTTACCTGGTTTGGCTTGCATCTATCTCCAGACAGATAGCATTGTGGTCCACTCATAACAAGTCCTTTGGGCAATTAGGGAAAGGCGATAAATGATGCCCACTTCCTATTAATGAAAGAAAAGCTTCAGTCCTCAACATTCCATTTATTGTTAAACTCATTCAGTGAGTTGTCAATTAGCTGTGTGTAACAAGCAGATGTAGTCACCACGTTAGATAAATTCTACACGTGTGGAGTGCGTATGCAGTTTGACTAAAATTTGACAAGTTGACAAATGGCTGTACTGTTTTGTCAAAATTAAATTATATAAGCCTCTTCTTGATCTAACAGTATCTTCAGTTACTGTTATTAGCCATGCTCGAACCAAGTTTATGTATGTTTTATTTGTTGCAAAATATATATTCTTTACTTGTGAACTTTTGCTTGTTTAATGCTATATATTTTAATGTAGCTTCCCAGTCTACTTTTGCCAACTCATCCCATATATCCCAGTAGTTTGCATTCTTTAGATGATCAACTGGTTTTGGATTACTGAATTACGTTAAAACTCAAAATTCGAACATATTGTGGTCACTCTTTCCTGTACAATAAATTTTATTCATTATCCTTTTCTCCTCGCATAATGTTAGATCCAAATAATCTATTGTCTGCTGCCTTCTTGACATTCTGATCTACTGACTGTCTTGTGTGCGTTTACATGAACTCATCCTGTAATGGTGTGAAGGAAATTTCATTTGCCCAGTTTGAGTATTAAATCTTCCCCATCAATGAAATTGTTGTTTCTTGGTTCCACCCAGATTGGGTCCACTTCTTTTTTTATTTTCTCTTTCTGTCTTTATTCAGTCCATTACTATCAGATGTACCCCATCTCTTTTTTTCCATTTTCTGACTCTTATCAAAGTTAGACATCCTGTGATAGCTAGTTCCTAACCTCCAGTTGATTTGCAGTCTAGTTGCTGTAACTGTTATTAGATCAAACCTATTCATATATTTGCTGTTAATTCATCTAATTTCTGTATAACGTTTATGCATTTTGATATAGTGCTTTTAGCTTTAATGTTCTTCTAATTCTTCTTGATATCAATTTGGTTACTTACACCTTTTTATCTTGTGTTGCTTTCGTGCCCCTTCCAGACCCACTTTACTTAATTTTACCCCTCATGCTTCCCTGCTCTGAAGCCTTGATATTTTCCTTGCTGTCCTTGATTAAACCTTTTTTCTGAATCCTCTCAGCCAGTTACAAGCACTTGCAGCAAACCTTGAAGTTGCTGCCAGATTCACAAAGTAATGATGCGAACACCAACAACTGTAAAAGTTGGCTGATGTTTTACTTGTGTATTTTAAATACACGTTTTATGAAATTTACTTTTTTTTTGTTTTCTCTTAATACCCTTGTTTTAATGATCAGTTAATGACAGCTTTGCATTTTCATCAACAGTATAGTGTTTACCCTATTATTTGGGCAGCTGGACGAGGGCATCATGAAATTGTTGAACTTTTGCTGCAACATGGAGCCAAGGTCAACTGCTCTGACAAAGTAAGTATGTAATAGATAACATAAAATACTTGCTACTAGCATTTGCATAGAAGAGCAACAAAAGTATTATTTCCATTTGATAAATCCAGAATTAGTGGCACACCCCTAGTTACAAATTCCTGACCTGAAAGAAACCCATCTAACCCTACTTTCTGTCTCTGATAAGTTGGCAGTATCGCTGGTAATATTTCACCTCCAAGCCATGAGTTCTTAACTTGTACAGCAAATGGAAAAAAAAATGTGCACCTTATTAAATGCTTTATGACAATCTAAATGAACAGCCAGTACTCGTTTTCCTTTATCCACACTACTTGCTGCAGCCTTAAAGTATTTTAATAAACTTGTCAAACACAATTTTCCTTTCATATAGGGAGATGGTGGTGTTGCAGTAATATCGCTAGAAATTCACAGTCCTAGGTAATGTTTTGGAGATATGGGATTGAATTGCAAACTGGCAAATGGTGAAATTCATAATCAATAAATATCTGGAATTAAAACATATATCTGGTCTAATGGCAACCATATAACCATGTTCGATTATTGCAAAAACTCTTTTGGTTCACTGATGTCCTTTAGGGAAGGAAATCTGCCATCTTTACCTGATCTGACCTACACGTGATTCCAGACCCACCAATATGGCCAATTCCATACATTCAATCATTCAGAAATGGAAGAAATGGTGATGACAGCATTAAATGTGCCTTTCAGTTGCTTTTCAGTAGCTGTCTGACTCAGCTGTAAATAATACTATTATAGTACCATATAAATTGTTTCAAATCTTGTGTTACCTTTATTTTTAAATTGATTTGTGTACAAAATAATTCTAATCGTGACTCCGGGAGGCCGTACACTTGACACTGAGGATGATTGGGAATATAACCTGTTCAGCATTTGACAAGTCTTCACAAACCATGTTTCTGCTGACCCAACTATAGAATCTATTGTAGTAATAAATTATAAGAAAGTATATTTGCAAAAGTTTATAAAAGCTTTTTTCTAATTTTCTTTCAGTATGGAACAACTCCATTGATATGGGCTGCCAGAAAGGGTCATCTTCAGTGTGTGAAGCATTTGTTGGAAATGGGTGCTGATGTTGATCAGGAAGGAGCTGTATGTATTCCCAACAATCCTACATTTAACATACATTTCAGTGAGTCTTAAAATGTTCAGGAACTTAAAAGATTCGTATACTTTTATCAACATAATGAACTGTACTTGAATTTTATGTTGAAATAAAGAATCTTTGGTGTGTAAATACTTCTTGAAATAAGTCCTTAATTAAATTTGAGTTGAAAATGAGTGCTCAGTGATTCTTCCAAATTAAGAATAAGTTTATGTGGAATAACTCCTAATGATTTGATATTGAGGACTCTATGGGCCCATGCAATATGTTGCTTAGATATAGTCATAGTAACTGTAGCTAGCCATGAAATGCAAACATTGCAATATTAAATTTGGCAGATCTAGTGAAATAGTGAGAACTGGATTGATTCAAAATGTATATTATTTCAGTGTTTCAAGTAGACTGTTTATTCTTGAAGTCATGTTTTTTCCTCTCTTTTTTTGTGTAGTTTTGTGAAATTGAAAACTTAGTCTTTTAGGGAGTGAAGGTGACTTGACAGACCATAGGTTTGTGATTTTTTTTTTTTCTTTAGATGTGTAGGCTCATGCAATTTCCCCCCCTCCTCAATTTTTTGCTTTCCTGTTACCTGACCCCAATCCCCTTTCTCTTCACTAATTGGTTTATCAGAGAGAGGCTGCCTGCCTCCACTTTATTTCATTGGTATTCAATTGGACACCAGTGGTTGTATTCTTGTTATAAAGAGTGACTTTTCTTTGGCTGAGAAACACCAATGTCAATTTTGTTAGTATATTCCAGTAGCATGTAGTCTGTAGACATGTAAATAATATTTAACAGTAAATACAGTTCTTCATGCAAGCTGTTTCTAGGAGAGTGAAGCGAAGATATTGTAGCACAACCTAAGCATGGATTGAAACAGTTTGCATAATAGGGATACAAACATACAAACTATATTGAAACATAGAAAATAGGAGCTGGAGCAGGCCATTCGGCCCCAAAGCTGCTGCTTTGATTATGAAAATAGCCGATCATCCAACTCAGTAGCCTGTTCCTCTGCTTTGCCCCAATAATCTTTGATCCCTACTTTGATAACATTTCACTTCCTCAGTTATCAAGCATCTACCTACTTCTGCTTGAAAATATTTAAAGATTCTGCTTCCGCCACTTTTTCAAGAAGGGAATTTCAAAGATTTATGACCATCTAAGAGAGAAATTTCTCATTCGTTGTGTCTTAATTGGGCATTCCCTTATTTTTAAACAGTAACCTCCTAATTCCAGATTCTCCCACAAGGTAAAATCTCATTTTGCATCCAGCCCGATTTAAACCCATCAGGATCGTGCATGTTTTTAAAAAAAAAGTCACTTCTTATTCTTCTAAACTCAAGTAAATATGAGCCTAAAATAAAAATGGATATGAACCTAGTATGCCCAACCTCTCCTCACAAGACAGCTCACTTTTTTTTTCCTAGGTACTAGCCCTTCTCTGAGTTGATTCCAACACTTTTACATCCTTTCTTAAATAGAAAGCCAATACTGGTCACAATACTCCAGATGTGGTCTCATCAATGCTCTAACACTGAAGCATAGCTTCCCTCTTTTTTGTATTCATTTCTCCTTGCAATTAATAATAGACTTTGGGCTGTCCTAATTACTTATAGTATCTACATAGTGACCTTTTGTGATTCATGCACACATTCGGATCCCTCTTCAGTTCCGAGTTCTGCAATCTCTCGCCATTTAGGTAATGTGCTTTTTTTAAATTCATCGTACTGAAATGGGCAGATCTGCATCTTTAATTATGCTCCATTTGCCAGATCTTTTCCCACTCAATGAACCTATCTCTGTCCCTTTTGAAGAGGATAAGGAAGCTGTAAAATGTACCTATATATTTTGTATCATGACCACATTTAGCACCCATATCTTCCATCCCTTCACCCAAGACCTTTTTTATATAACTTGTAAAATGTTGAGGCTCCAGCACTGATCCCTATGATGCTGCACTTTTTATATCTTGCCGACTAGAAAAACAATTTGTTTACATCGACTGTTTCTTGTTAACTGGCCAATTGTCTATCAATGCTAACGTGTTACCCTCGGTCTTATTATTATTCCAGAATAATCTTTGACACTTCATCAAATGCTCCCTGTAAGTCCACATTCAGGACATCCACTGGTTCTCTTTTAGCCACACTGTATTATCAATTCAAAGAAATCCAACGAATTTATTTGTAATGATTTTCTTTACACAAAATTGTGTTTACTCTACCAGATTATCTTGAACTTTTCAATGTGCCCGGCTATAACGTTAATAATAGCTTCTAATTTCTTTCCTATGACTGCTTTCTGACTGCGTTGCTTTTTGAGTAAAAGAGTTGCATTTGCTAATTTACAACCTTGTGGAAACTTCCCTGATTTAGGGAATACTGGAAAATTTAATACCAATGCATCGTTCATCTCACCAGGATTATTAGCCCATAGCTCTAACAGTTTGCGCAGGGCCACTTTCCTGGTGATTTTATAATTTTCTTGAGTTCTTCCCTCTCTTCGGTTTGCTGAGTTATTTCTGAGGTGTCACTTGTATCATCTGTAGTGGAGACTGATGAAAAATAACTGTTATTCCTTTATCCCTTCATTTTCTGTTCTTGATTCTCCAGACTCACTCACTATAAGATCAAAATTCATTTTGTTAACTGTTTTTAAATATCTATAGAAACCCTTGTTATCTGATTTTATATTCTCAGCTAACTTTCTCGTGTTCTTTAATTTTACCCCGTTATTAATCTTTTAGTCATTCTTTGTTTTTTATATTCTGTCCAACCTTCTTAACCTACCAGCTTTGTTTGCACAATTAAATGGTTTCTCTGTAAGTTTGACGCCATCTTTAACTGTTTTTTAGTTCACCACAAATGGTGGACCCTCCTGTTGAAATTTTTCATTCTTATTGGAATGTGCTTATTCTGAGTATTCTGAATTTTCCCCTGAAATGTCTGCCACTGCACCTGTATTGACTTATTCCTTAATCTTGTTTGCCAGTTTGCTTCAGTTAACCTGCTTTCGTGACCAATAATTGCCCTTATTTAAGTTTAAAATACTAGTCTTGGACCCACAGATTGCAAAGCTTCACACACCCTGTCTGTGCCTTTAGAGCCCTTTCATAGACAATCCCTCCCAAAAATCAGTCTCTTTGAATTTGAAATGAACTATTCCTGCTGAGTCAAGTTTGTTGCAACGTGTCAAATTAAGGGACTATACTTGCCTGCAGCTGCTTTATTATGAGTTTCCACATATGTTTCTTGAGTTCAATAACCATCGGAATTTGTTGTGACAACTTTGTTCTGGTTACTGCTGTCTCTATTTGGATCTCTGAACACAACATAATATATAGAAAAATCAAACAAAAACTGGCTACCATAATATTTTTGTTACCGTTTTCTCATCTCTGGGCAAGTGGCTTTATCTTTACAAAATACAGATGAACTATTCTTTTTCCAAGTGAGTTACATAAGAATTTTGATTTTTAAATTATCTGCTTGGACTGCTGAATGAAATGTTTATCCATAATTTACAGGAAATAATTCACTGTACCCAGTAGAAATTTTCAAAAAAAACTTTTTCTGACTTCTTAAAATTTTGATTTGAAAAATTTGCGTATACTTCTGATGATGCTTGATTCAAATATTTTCCAATTTCGGATCTTCATTCAAATTTGGTAACAAAAGACTCAACCAGTTTGAGAGAGAAGTTGGCAAGTTATAAGATTGGAAGCTGGGGCATTTCACTTTTAAATCCATCAATTCACATTCCATATGTCAAATCCTCCACTGCTAAGTGGAGAAACTTTATTCTACAAAAGACTTGAGATAGTCAGTGATCATGGAGATGTTTCTGATAAGAATCCAGTACTACACAAAAGTCGAAGAAACTGCATTAGTTGAGAACGTAGATGAACTTGATCATGAGTAATTTCTTAAGTTGCGCTATTTTGAATGTTTCCAGATGCTTATGACATGGAAAGATTTTAAATGTACATTACTGAAAAGTGAGAGATGCTGCTGTGTAAGGTTTTTACTTGCACTCATCAGATAAAATGCAACAATGCCAAATATCAAAAAGAGCAACAATTCTTATAATGCATGAGAAAGGAGTGCAGGTCAACTTCAGTGTGGTCTTGGTGTTACTATGGGGAAGTTACCAGGAAGCTAAATTTTTTGAATGTTCCTCTTCCAAACAGAGGCTAATTCCATGCCTGTTATTATATGGTATATTGCATTGATATGATGGGCTGAATGGCTTCTTTCAGTACTATACCTTTTCTACAGTTTTAGCAAATGTAACTGAGCTAAACTGCAAGCCCACCCGATAATTGCATTAAAAACAATTTAAGATTCTTGGGAAACTCAGGATTATTCAGCAAGATCTGTCCAATCATAAAATCAAATCTAACATTAGATATTTATGATCTGAGCTTTACATGACATTAATCTATTTGCATGTGGTCAATCCTCTGTCTGTTGGAGACTGCTGAAAAGGTATGCTGTTTATAATGTGATCTGGTAGTTGTGACGTATGGCCCATGGACCTCCGCATTATGCTGGTGCTAAAGTTCATTTACTGCATCATTCATTTTTGTGGTCTTTTCAGCTTGATAACTGTGTTCTACATCCATGTTACCGCTCAATAGTAGCAGAATGAAAATGCTAGTTCTGCTCAAATGTTTGTGCTTCCAGGAACCAAAGTCAATTTGGCATTTTTTTGAGTCCAAAAGCAGTGGTCTTAAGCCCATTTGAGAGCATGCTTGATACATACTGAACAGTTAGAATAGCCATATTCCACAGGATGGCTTTGATGCATCCTGTTTTGGTGTCCATCTTGCACAGTGAGCGCGTGGCTCAGGTCCTATTTATGACATCTCCATGATAAATTTATATGGCATATAAATTGTTTCTGCCTTTTAAATCTGGCGGTCTTGCACCTTTCCTGTTAAGTGCATGATGAAAAGCTTTGACAGATTACTGAAAAAAAGTCTGTT